TTATCCACACAATTCTATTTCTTCAAATGCCCCTGTTTATACTCGTGCCTTGTAAGGGGTGGGTGGGCAGGAGCAGAACTCAGCTTGTTACCCAGTTAGTAGGGTTTTCCTGGTTTCTGGGTGCAGGACTGGATGAATATCTGAAAAAGCCCTTTGAAATTGTATCCAGACATTTCTTAGCACTAAACAGGGCCTAGCACACTGTGCTGAAGGAATCACCCATAGGAGATACTCAGCTTGTAGGGTGTACAGACTTAGTAGTGCATCTGAATAATTCAAAGTCAGTCATCATCCAATTTTCGCTTTCAGTCATGAAAGCACATTTTCTTTTGTGTGAAGCAATCAGCCCTGATCACCAAGAATAATAACATTTTCAAGCAGCTGTGGATGGCTACAGGATGTTTGCTCCTTGAGGACATGGTTTCTTCAATCCCAAGAACAAAAACAGGATGGGTGGAGAATGGATTGAGAGCAGCCCTGAAGAAAAGCACTTGGGGATGTTGACTGATGAGAAGCTCAGTATAACCCGGCAACACGCACTTGCAGCCCAGAAAGCCAACCATATCCTGGGCTGTATCCAGAGCAGTGTGGCCAGCAGGTCGAGCAACGGGATTCTCCCCTTTTGCTCTACTCTCATGAGACCCCAATGCAGTCCTGTGTTGACCTCTGAAGCCAACATAAGGACGATATGGACCTGATATGGACCGGTTGGAGTGAGTCCACCTGCAGTCCTGTGTCGAGCTCTGAAGACGACATAAGGACAACATGGACCTGTTATGGACCGGTTGGAGTGAGTCCAGAGGAGGCCATGGAGATGCTGCAAGGGCTGGAGCCCCCCTCTGCTCTGGGGACAGGCTGGGAGAGTTGGGGGTGTTCAGCCTGGAGAAGAGAAGGCTCCGGGGAGACCTTATAGCACCTTCCAGTGCTTGAATGGGCTATGGGAAAGCTGGGGGTGTGTGTGTCTTTTTACAAGGGGTAACGGGTTTAAACTGAAAGTGGGGAGGTTTAGACTGGACATCAGGAAGAAGTTCTTCCCAGAGAGGGTGGTGAGGCACTGGGACAGGTTGCCCAGAGAAGCTGTGGATGCCCCATCCCTGGAAGTGTCCAAGGCCAGGCTGGATGAGGCTTGGAGCAACCTGGTCTAGTGGAAGGTGTCCCTGCCCATGGCAGGGGGGTTGGAACTGGACGATCTTTAAGGTCCCTTCCAACACAAACCAGTCTGTGATTCTTTCTGGAAACCAGCAAGACAGGGTTCCTCTAAGTAGGAATCCTGTTGTACAAAACAAAGCTCTTACTTTTATGGTTGGAAAGTCTTCAGGTGCTATCTCTGTCTCCCCTGAGCCTGAATTTTCATCATTTGTAAAACAGGAATAATACTGACTCAGTTCAGAAGAGACAGATCTCAATCTTGTATTGCGTAAATGGAGTTTTGAGGCTAGATTCATAAAGGAAACATCAGAAGTTGTATCCAACATTTAGGCTTGAGTGACAATTACAGACCACCTGCTACCATAGCACTGTGGATATCCATATTCCTAAAGCTAAACCCCTAATCCCTGCAAGGGGAGGGATGTTGTCTGTTATGGAAATCATAATCTTACTGCTAGGGATCCTGTTGTTGAATGAGAAAATCCAGGCTGAGCAGGCAGCACTGGCATCATGGTAGTCTGAAAGCAAGGTCTTCCTTTAAATGGACCTTACTCAACATATTCAGCTAAAAGCATGGAGTTTCAGAAGCCTGTTCTTACTGAAGTCATAGTAAAGAGCTTCCTACTTTAAGAGCCAAGAAGCCTGTTTCTGAGCAAACACAGGCACTTTTCATTACATTGCTAATTATAACGATGTTAACAAATGTCATCTTGAGTGGCGTTAAGTTTTATTACAAATACCAGTTTTTGGTGGGCTCAATCAATCCTGCCCATCAAATGTTTAGTTGGACAAAAAACCTTCATAGTGTTTCCAGCCAGGAAACAAATGACATAAAAATAACACATGATGCATTTTGTTAATGTGCTGTTTCAAAAGTTACTTTAACTTCTGCTTCCTAAACTTACTCCAAGAAAAAGCAGGACTGTTGATTTCAGTGTTATCTTTACTACACCCCTTTAACTTTGTTTCCTCAATACAACAATTGGTATGATTTAATTTTTTCTGGCAGCACCGAAGCCATATGAACATTTAAAATGGTATTAATGCAAGCAAAGATGACTTAAAATACTTTTTGGAGGAGGAAAACAACGACAAAAAAAACCCCACCAAACTTTCAAGATGGTGAGCATGATGTTTGAAACTATGGGTGCAAACAAAATATGGGTGCAAACAAAATGGGTATGCAGGTGCCTAAAATAAAGACTGTGGCAGCCTGTTTAGGAACAAACGTCAGGTTTACATCACGCAAGTTCCGAAGAGTAAACTGCTTTTATACCAGGGATGTGTGAGATGGAGAAGTCACCAAGCAAAGGGACGTTTAAAAACCGACTCTTTGCGATTCCTGTCTGAGGCTGGTGCACGCCATCAGTTCTTCACCGGTAACTTGTGTTATGAAAGGCCCCAGTTCATCGATTTTTGATGAAAGCTGAGTCTGAAAGGAAGCAAATGGGAAATACCCACATTCCAGATATTAGTTTGCAAATCCAGTGTTTCTGCCTCTCTAATCTTTAACTCAAATTTCTGGCATTGCCAGTGCTCACCCTTCCGGTTTAAAGATACTGCTGTTCCAGGCAATAATACAGAAAAAGAAACTTGTGTACTTTTTGGAGCTACAAAAAGACTGTTCCTGACACTCCCCGATAGCCCGGGGTCTTGATACGAACATGGAAAGCCAAGCTGTCTCCAGCATATTGGAAGGGGTGCTGCTGTGTCTTTGGTAAGTCAGGGAAAAGCAGGCGTTATGCCAGGGCAGAAGGCAGAGCCAGCATGCCCTGAAGCAGAACTGCGTGACACAGCGGCATCCCCAGGTTCTGTTAAAGTGGGCTGACAGGACAGACCCAGGTGCCTGCAGAAGCAAGAGGCTGTCTGTGGGTAAGCGGTGCCTTTCAGGAGCTCAGAGGTGGCAGAGGGCGCCTTGTCTTAGCTCCCAGGCCTGTGGAGCACACCAGGTGCAGACGGGCAGGTTCTCGGCCTTACACGTGTTACCCTGGTCCTGCAAAGGTGAAAGCACCGTGTGCGGGCTCCAAAGTTTGCACAGGGCGTCTGATCAGCTGCCCTGAAAAAGACAAACTCACTCTGAAGTGTCAGAGTTACTAAGGCATCTAACAAGCCTTACCCCTGACCATTTGACACCGCAGCCACTTGATACATTCTAGCTCTCGCTGAATTCTGGGGCAGTTTTGGTTAAAGACGACTGCCACTGCTGAGACACGTACACCCCCCAAGCTAGAATGGGAGTTTTTGGCTGCAGGAGGTGACAGGGCTCCTGTTCATGAACGTGGTCATCAGCAGGTCCTTGGATTTCAAATCCAGATGGTGAAGTTTCTAACTTTTTAACAATCTTACCACTTCGCTATGTTATCTTGCACCCTCTCACTGTTTGTCGGGTCTTTCACACAAGCCTCAGGTAACCAGTCTGAGCTGCAGGAACGTAGCAAAGAATTTTCACTTTTTCAGCAGG